AGCGATGGGAGCCTAGAGGTGGTTCTTCGGTATCATCAGTACCTTCAGCGACAGGGTCGAAGGGAGGATAGTCACCCGATACCGGTCTGTGGTCGTCTTCGTAGGGGATGGAGTCGTCGACGGGGGATACGGTGCGAGGTTGGGCCTTGGTTGCTGCCGTTGTCAGAGACGTTCAGGCCGCCTGCGCCGCTGGAGGGATTTGTCGAGCGCTTTCCGAGGTGCGGCGGTGGTGGTGGTGGTGGTGGCGGTGGTGGTGTTGCCCCAGCCGCGATATCCGCCGCCGTTCCCGTCTTTCATGCCCGCGGAGTCGTCGTAATTGCCGCCAGCCAGGCCGACGGACGGTAAGGTGGGGTCGTGGTTGGGGTTGAAGCGGTATTCCTCGATCTCCTGTTTGCGCTCTTCCTCTGCGAGTTTGGCTGCTCTGCGTCGCCTCCACCACCAGAGCAGGACGAGGATGATCAGTGTTATCGAGACCATGGGGACGACGACGGAGAGCACGATGGCGCCGCTGGGAGGGAGGCCGCTAGGGGGTCGGGCGGCAGAGGAGCTGGTGGGAAGTGCAGACGGCGGGGGAGTGGAATTGGTCACGCCGGGGAATTGGTTTTCACCGGCGGACGGAAACGGTTCTGCGGTGGATGTGATGATGACTGTTCTCGTGTTATCGGGGGATGCAGTCTGCGTCCCTCCCGGCGAAGGGGTCTGAGGGTTTGGGCTTGGGTTCTGGCTCTGGGAAGGAGGCGAATTGGGCGTTGGGGATCGATCAGGGGAGGGTGGAGGGTTGTTGTTTCCTGAAGGACGGGGTTGGGGTTGAGGCTGAGGTTGGTTTGACGGAGAGGGCTCCGGCTGCTGCGGTGCAGGAGGGGTGGTTGGATTTGGCTCCGGAGAGTCCTTTGGCGACTCTGAAGGCTGGGGGCTGGGGGTGGGCTGCGGAGCAAGGGGCGTGGAGGGAGGGGGAGTTGGGTTCTGCTGAGAGGGCGCAGGACCTGGTGCTGGCTCACTAGTCGGGGCTACCAAAAAGAAGAAGAGCAAAGTAAGCACATGGGGTTAGCAGAGGTCAGCCATTTTTTTCGGATTGAATTGAAGGACACACCTGGTTGATTCGAAAGGGACGCCATTTGTCTCGAATGCAGAGACGGGGAGTTGCCAAGTCCGGTTGGCTATATAAAATCCTTCTTGTGTGTCCCTATATGTCTGGCGTATTTGTAGGGGAGAGGGTTGTGTGTACCCCCTTTCCACGCGCCTACCAGACGGTATCCGCGCGAGAAATTCCAAGACGAGAGAAGAGGAAAACCCAAAAAAACCAAGAAAACCAAAAAAACCCAAAAAAACCGTTCGTCATGGACCAGGGTTTTTTCTTCTTTCTTTCTTTCTTTCTTTCTTTCTTTCTTTCTTTCTTTATTTACTTCTTCTTTCTCTTTCTTCTTCTTCTTCCTTTTTTTTTTTTTCTCTCGCTGTTGGCAATGTTGGCGACGGTGCACAGGGACCTCAGGCACAAGGACAGCCGATGGATGAGGACCTGGGAAGCGAAGTGACAAGAGGTTGTGTACGACGGGGCCAAGAGTGACAGCGAGCAGACTGCTTGGGGTGTAGCGGTTCCGACCAGGCAATCTTCCTTTCTTTTTCTGTTTACTCTGGGCCCGGTGGGGGGCTGACTGGATACGATTAAGCCAATAAATAAAAAATAGGGATGATTTTGTACGGTGTAGGATTAGAGATAGTAGATCTAGATGTAATAGAGGATATACGTATACGGGCGAGATCGGGTCAAAACAGGCGAGTCTCAGGGACTGACAGGAGAGAGAGGGCGGGAGACGACAGTGGATGAAAGGATCGTTGGGTTGGATGGATCGATGGACAGATCGAGGTGCGGTTGACGTGGGAGATGGAAAGTTTGGGAAAGTGGCGTATATATATTTATAGGTTGGAGCTAGGAGAGCAAGGGGAGGAGACGAGAAGAGAGATGATGAGATGATGAGAGAAGGGATGATGAGATGATGAGATGAAAGAGAGAAGGGATGAAAGAGAGAAGGGATGAAAGAGAGAAGAGATGAAAGATGAAAAGAGAAGAGAAATGACAAGATGAGAGATGAAGATGAGATGAGATGAGGCGAGGCAAAGACAGCAGAGAAAGTGGGGGGGGGGGGGGTACGGTATGGTCACGCCCACCGGGCCCCGACGGGGAGATGGAGGGGGGGGGCTGAAGACACCGACGCACCAGCGACGGGCTGTATCCGTATGTAACGGACGCGGTATTGGGCTGAAACGGAGCCCGCAGCAAGCGACACGACAGCGACAGTTCCCACCACGATCCCGTATCAAACAGTTACAGACAGGCACAGACAGGCAGAGGCGGGCACAGTTACAGACAGTTACAGACAGTTACAGACAGTTACAGACAGTTACAGACAGTTACAGACAGGCACAGATAGGCACAGATAGGCACAGGTGCAAAGGACGGCAGCATTCTCTGCTCTATCTATATTATCTATATTTGTCCGAACTTAGTTTACACGCCGCGGTGGGGTGGGTGCCAGTGGCAGAACCGGCGATTGCGCCCACCCCACGGTAGCCACCAAACCCACGGTCGAGCCAGGGACTAACGCATGAACTACTGGCATCTTCCCACTGCCACTGCCACTGCCACTGCCTCTGCTTCTGCCTCCAGCGTGCAATCCCAATTGACTTTGCGTGGAATCTCAAGGTTGGTCTCTGGGCAGCCGGCGGGTCACGTGACTGGGGATTATATCAGCAGCACGGCGGCAGGCGGCGGCAGGCGGCGGCAGAACGTCGGGCAGAGGGAAGAATGAGACGTTTGATGAGAAGAGAAAAGTGGATGATGGTGATGAGAAAGTGATGAGAAAGTGATGAGAAAGTGATGAGAAAGTGATGAGAAAGTGATGAGAAAGTGATGAGAAAGTGGAAGAGTGGAAGAGAGAGATGATAACAAGATTGAGAGATATCAAGATTGATTTATGATGGCAAGTGAAAGACTTCTCTGCATGTAACCCAACCGTAATCCACGGATCCTTGCGCGCATCCAACAGCCTTTTCCACAGCCTTTCCCTTACACCCACTACAACCAACCACTGCAACCAACTACAACCAACTACAACCAACTACAACCAACTACAACCAACTACAACTACACTACAACTACACTACAACTACACTACACTACAACTACACTACCAGGTCGTGCCTTGTTCTCGTGTTCTCCACCCATCGTGCTGTGTGCTGCGTGCTGGCGCCGCGGTGATGGCCTGCCCTGTCTGCTGGCTCGAGCACCGCTATTTAGACTCCAACATAGATAGCATAGCCACTACAGCCCCACGGCCGTGGATGCAGACCCCCCTGATTTTTATTTTTATTCTAATGTCGATGGACAGTCGAATTTATGCCAATATAAAGTCAATATATTGCCTGGGTGCCACTGTTTATTTTTTTTTTTTAGTAAATGATGATCTGTCGCTTTTTTCAAGTTCTAGTGTGCTTGTTGAGATAGGGAATGGTGTCGAGTGCGGAATTATAGGATCATTTAGAAGGTGCACAGACAGATTTATAGATAGATAAAATAGACAGTTATGAGTAGTAGGAATCGACAGAAGAACGTAGGTAATATAGTACAATATGACTGTACGAGGAATAATTGATGATAGGATAGCGGAATATAAGAAGTTGGACGACTAGGACACGGACTACCAGTATTATACATCATCGAGTACGTACAATTGAACTGTAAACGACAATCAGATGGGGATGCTTAGTAAGGATCAGAAAGTACGATCTACGAGTCGATA